CACGGAAACTAATTACAAGACCATCAAACAACCCAGCGCCCTCCCCGTTTCAAGTCCATAGCCACTCTGGTATGAAGCCAACCAGCTCCAAGCGTAGCCCAAGCCGAGCAAGAGACCCACCCAACCAGGTTCCTCGTCCAACAAAATTAAAACCACTACCACCCAGTGTAAATACGGTCCCGCAACACCTCCACCACAGTAGAAAACTAACAACAAACCAAAATATAAACTACAGGCGACACAATGGCAGAGAGGAGGTGACCAACATGTCCGCCTCTCGCATCCGTATGCCAGGCCGTCGACCCTATAAACCCTCTTTGCCAAGTGCCTCCGTGGAGCGTAATGGTGAGGAGGACCTGTACCCGCTGCCTGTCCCCCAAAACAAACTCATAAACAAAAGAAAAACATAGAGGTGGTGACAGACCGAAAAGGTCAGTGGGGCCTATTTCCCACCCATGGTGCCTTGCCCCTGCCAGCCATGCCCATTGCCAAACCAAAGAAACCAAACAAACTTCCACAACACCCAGCAGGCAGAACCCAAACAAGTCCAACCAGGTGGTCGCAACCCGCTGTTCGCACAGGTGGCCATCAGTCCAGCGGTCCGCCAGGGAGCTTTACAGCACTCAGCAACTTCGCCCAGCAGCCCAAACCGGTCCGGAAACACTTAATTAGACATCGCCCAACCTGACGCATGCCCGACCGGTGCTCGCAGGTGCCTCTCCCCCACCAATCAGCCCCCCCCAAGCCCCACACACCAGACACCACAGAGCCCATCCAGCCCCCCCAGCCCCTCAGACAGATTAACCATCCGACGGCCATAGGACAGCTTATACCCAGCCCCGTCAGGCAGCCATTGATCTTGGCCACACGAACCGAGCCCCAACCCCCAGCACCATATAGCCAAGGGGAGCCCACCAGCCACAGCCGGGAGCCACAAAGGAGGCAGCACCAACACCCGAAGGCGCCGGCACCAGCCACACCATCCAACCCAGCTGAACCAAAATCCAACCGAGTCAGGAAAGAGTAAGCAGAGCCAGCCAAAGCCAGCCCCACAGGTCCGGCAACAGGCACGGACCGAACAACGGGCAAGAGGCATCCCCAACTGACGCGACAAGAAGGGGAAGGGCGAACGAACAGAAGCAGACCAACAGAAGGTAGGCCCCACTTGCAATGGGTGAAGCCGCCAACCACAGACCACAACCGAACCACCCAGACTCACAGACAACGCGAGTGCCTGGCAGCCAATCGTCCCACACCACACCAGGCAGCAAAGAAAAACCACTCCAGGGGGTAAGGTTTTTCAGGGTCAAAGCCATCCCCACCGTAGCTAGGAGGTGACACCTGACTGAACCACCGTATATGCCGCAAGGACAAAATTTCCAAGGGAGCGGTGATAAACAATATCGTAGGATTCCGACCGTAGAAACATAAAGTAACGAGGCAGGGAGGGGCCGGCGAGGCCCCCTCCCTTGAGGAAATGATGCGGCCGGTACGACGAGTTGATACTTGGGAAGGTCATCAGTCTAACCCAAGGGCGTTTTGTATCGCGTGAACTAAGGACTACATTAAAACCCAACAAAAGACATGAGCTGGCCCAAAGAACGACACGGGTGATCCCCCCAAACACAATGTTCAATCCCCCCAATCGAACGCGAAACCTGCGAGTAGACTATAGACAGGAAGCCGTAGACATTTTACCGAAAGGGACTCGGAAGCGACCGTGATGAGTGCTCGAAGTGCTAGTATAGTGAGATAACCAGTCCAACGAAACGAGACGCAAACAAGTTATCCGCCACGCAACGCCTAACAGACCTCAATATTACCAAAGACCCCAGAAACTACTGAGCGAACTCAGATATCTCCCCCAGAATCAAAGGCATCAAGGCCCATCATGACGGCGAAAGAAACGCTCGAGGCGAAGTGAGGGCAAGGACGAGGAAAAGTACTTAGAACAAAGCGTGAAGAACCTATCTTCCACAGCCGCATCGGCCTCCTTATATAGTATTCTTCCCGCCCGTAGTCATGTGACTTAAAGTGGTCACATGTGCGAAACCAAATCTTCACAAACTCATCATATGACCAAAGTGATCACATGCTCAAAATCCATGACCTTATAGCGAGGTCATGTACAAAACTCATAAACCAATCATAACACAATAAACAAGTCATATGACTCGACTGAGTCATATGCGCGAAACCCATGACCTCATAATAAGGTCATGTGCAAAACATAAATCATATGCGTAAGGCTTACCCGCAAGGCATACTCGTAAGGCATACTTGTCAGGCGCATGTCCCATGACTCATACTTGAGCCATGTGCGAAAGCATCACAAATCCCACAAATAACAAATCATATGACCCTAATGAGTCCTATGTGTGAAACAATAATGTACCTGTGACTCATAACTATGCGTCATGTGAAAACCCTTTCCTCACTAAGCCACATTCGTGACACTACCTCTACAGATACAACCTGTAGATGAAACTTATTATTTTATCAATAATGGAGACAATTTAGGCTAACTCAGTTCGACTTGAGAACAAGGCCATAAGTCTAAAGACTCTAATGGTCAGATAATTATTATTGGGAACAATATGATCTCTAGTTAGCAATATCGTAATTACCAAAGATGGTGTGGTGGCTTTTAGGGTCTCCAGGTATTAGCATCTTTGAAAGATACATGATGTTGCGAGTTATGTTTAGAGAGATACATAGTTGTATAATAGATAGATGTAGTCCGCGAACACTTAAACATGGAATAAAAATATTGAAGTACCTCCCAAGCCTTTAGACATCATCAAGCAACAGAGATGAGACCGTAGCAATATAATATTGTCTTTACGATTCTACTTACTTTACCAATTTTACTTTGCTCTTAGTAGTCATAAACGAAACAAGTGAAGTTTAAGCCTTCCTAGACAATCTCTATCTACAGAAACGAATCTTTGTTGGCATAGACAACTCTGATATCTATCAGATTGTCTCCGCCCAACACTGTAATAGCAGTAGGGAACAATACTACACTGGATTAAATTGTAAATATACTTCTTTTCTTTTATACACAGCATAATGCCAAGAGTTCGACAAACCTTTTTCATTACCAAATTGCGTAAAAACCCACCAATGATATATGCAGGCAACTCACATACTTATGGTAAACTCAGCCTGTGAGAACAGAGTTCAACAGACTTTTTTCCTACCTCTAGTACAATATATAAGTTAGCCACTTGGTCAATTCAGAAAAGAGTAGTAAAATAATAGTTAATTAGACTGTTAGGAGCACCGGGATCTGATATCCAAGAACCACCCTAAATAGGGTAATCCCACTTGGAATTGGAATCTCTCGTCTCCAACACCCTCTTCCAGCACCCTTAAGGGCCCACACATCATTATACATATCTATCTTGGTTACGTCCTGTGACTATAATGCTACAGGATTTAAGGTAAAAGAATAATATCATATATGTCTCAGCTATTTGTCTGACCTGATCCTGTACTCAAGATATATGGGAGCGGACCTTTGGCTAAATCAGAGAAGTGGAACAGAGTAAATCCATCAACTACTCAGAGAGTTACTAAGTTTCAAAGATGTAACATTTTTGGTATAAGTCATAGGTAACAGGATGTTTTCATACAAAGATATGGTATGAAATGTTCAAGAATCACTACGAGAAATGAATACATTCGCACCTACTCTAAGATAACTAGAAGAGTCTAGAACTTTAAGAAACATTACAATAGAAGTCAATGGACTTCACAGAGTGTTACAACCGGGCTCAGGGAGGCATTGTAGTTGCGGGAAGAATTCCCAATACTAAAATGACAACTAAAATCATGTTATTCAAAGTAATTAAAAGTTACCAACTGAGGAATTATCTACCAATCCAGTAGAATGGCTACCCATGAATTAATAGAAAGTTATCTGGAAGATATCTGTTGGTTGGATCTGGAGTTATGCAGGTTTAAAGTCAGCGACCTAAGAAGGTTGAATTTACAACTATCTCTGCAGATACAACCTGCAAATGAAACTGATTATTTCATTGATAAGGGAGACAATTGGGGTCAACTCAGTTCAACTTGAGAACTACGCTATAAGTCTAATGACTCTGAAAATTGGATAATTACTATCGGGAATAGCATAGTTCCTAATTAACAAAATAGTAATTACTGAAGAGAGTATGGTGGTTTTCATGGTTTCCAGGTGTTTGTGCCATTGAAGAATACCAAACATTGCAAGTTATAATCAGAGAGGTACGTAGTTTGTATAACAGATAGATGTAGTCCACGAATACTCAGACTTGGAATATAAATATTAAAGTGTCTTCCAAGCTTTTAAGCATCATCAAGCAATGGAGAAGAGATCTTAATAATATAATATTGTTCTTACAATTCTGTCCTACTTTACCTACTTCACCTTACTCTTAGTAGTCATAAACAAAACGAGTATAATTCAAGCTTTCCTAGACAATCTCCATCTATAGAAATGAATCTTGGTTGGCTTAAACAACTCTGAGTCTATACAGGTTGTCTTCGCCTAACAGATACAATACAATCGAGTGGTTTGGGCTATACCATGTTAGGAGACCACTAATCCTTCTTAAAATTGTTTTGACTTAGAAGCCGGAGATTACAGGGATGACCAAGATGGCGGATTTCAAGTGTCTTGGTTAAGTGGTTTGATGGGTTCTCACTTATGCGGTTTAGTCCCGACAAAAAACGGTTCCCAAGTTGCAGTGAGCGTGATTGTTTTTCAACCGCAAATGTGATATCCAATCAGTGACTGACTCACCACCTCCCCCATTCGGGTTTACGTGCGGAATTTGATCAATTATTTGGCGGTTTCGTGGTGTACGGAGGTAAAGCACCCAAAGTTTTTTTTATGTTACACGAGTGGCTCATACAACACCTGCTATTAGTGTAACATACAAAACCTAGGGTATCATATCTCCGTCCAGGGGAATCTAGAAAGACCCATAGTCTTGGCAGCAGGCATTTTTGACATTGTCAGGATTTTTTGGTTTCCTTGGTTTAGAATTGAAGACGTTCGCCTCTTATTTTCAATTTCTTTCTTTCCCTACCTCTAGCGCTAACATGCCTCTGCGGATTCCATACACCTGTACTCCATGCCTTCGCCGGGGGTATTCCTCTTCAACGGCCCCTCCCCACCCCCCGCCAACTGGTATATCAAACTTATCCCGTTACCGGCAACTTATCGAAATCCACGGGAGAGATGCACCAAAGTATCTTCAAGGATTAACCACGGGAGATATTCCCATGCAATCCGATAGCCTGGGCACTTATTCTGCCTTTCTGAATGCTCAAGTACGTATTTATATGGAGTGTACTTGTATTCATATTAACGATATCAGGGAAAAGTCCTCTATGACATCTTCATATACCCGACGAACCGCAACCACCGATGGCGCGCCCAAATCGAGCAAAAGAATTTCCAACCCCCCGGTTGTCCTCCCACCAAAAAAGGGCCCGAGGTAGATGAACCTGGTTTCTTCATAGAATGCGACATAAGATCCGCCGATGCGCTCCTCAATCATATAAGACGGTATAAACTCTCCTCAAAATTCCACTCCCGCCTAATACCCAAGGGTGAATGGGACATGTGGGCAATCTGGGACGACCACCGACTCCTACCCACGAGCCTCGGCGAAATTGGGTGCACGGATACTCGGGCACCCAATCTCGGAAAGCGAGTCGCCGTGTTCGGTGGTAAAAATATAGGCGTAGAAGTAGACGTCGAGGTCTACAACGTTCGAAGAATGCTCCACGGCGTTCCAGAAGGCCAAAACGAGATACTAAACGGCGGGAACATAGCGCAAGAGAGCAACATGGACTACATGGGTGGTGTGGATTTCCGCAAGGGCTGCTACGTCGGTCAGGAATTGACCATCCGGACGCACCACACGGGGGTTGTGCGGAAGCGGGTTCTCCCCGTTCAACTCTTCCGCCCTGAAGATCCTGTGCCGGAAAAACTCACTTATGATCCCAACCTCGACCTCGCGCCGTTACTACCCGGGGAGACCCTCAACATAAGCAAATTGGAAGAGAGCGGACGGAGTGCTGGGAAGTTCTTGCGGGGTGTCGGGAATATTGGGCTGGCGCTTTGCAGGCTGGAGATTATGACGGACTTGGAGAATGGGAGGAAGAGGGAGGGTAAGACAGTGCCGGAGTTCAAGCTTGATGTCGAGGGGAGTGAGCTCAGAGTTAAGGCATTCGTGCCAGAGTGGCATTTTATGGGGAATGCTACTACTTCTAGGAGGGTCCCGGATACAGCGTCTGAGATTGACTGAGCACGCTAGCTACTGTATTTCCTTGTCTTCTCGGTGTATTTAATCGCTATATATCACTACTCAATCCGTAGGCTATCCACCTTATCCCTCCATTATATTGACTCGGGCGGGTGCGCATCTTCAGCAATTTAACAGTAATGAGGTGGGTAACGACAAGTTTCCCATCAACCAAGTGATCGACCCCTATCCCAAACTATTACCCTGGTGAAAAAAAGGATCGGATTCCGGTTTGTGAGGTCTGATACTTCTTGAACAATGTTTCAGCAACCTGATCCTCCAGATGGTGTCCAAGAATGCTGACATACCGGCACCGTACTTATCGGTATTCTGGTTATGAGATATGTTGTTACCCGGCCAACACGCCCGAATTAATTTCTGGGGAAACTTATCCCATGCGGCATCCGGATCAACTCAACCACCTTGTCGACCAAACCACCAAGCCTGCCGTGCACCTCAAAACTCGAAACTCTTACCCTACCGGAAGTCCTTACTTCAATCCCAGACCCGTCGTCCCAATTCCTCGCCGCATGACCGAGTCACAAACCATTTCGCCAGTAACCCCCCAACACGACGGGAACACAGCAGAGCCGATGGACTCTACAATTGACACCGATATGGTTTTACGGCAGAACTTAGAGCATTGGGTATGTTATGGCTTACTTTTCCGTAAACGCTGCACGTATTGACTCGTCAGAAGCAGCAAATGGCCCCACCACCCCCACCTCCTCCTCCGGGACTACAGACACCTATGGGAATCTCGGTAGCTTCCGGGTCCTTAGACGCACAATTAGCGGAAAGTCAATCGCCGGAACTGCTCACACCGAAAAACGCTCAGGCGCCAAAAGGAGGAGCAAGGGCTAGAGCTAGAGGTGGCTCTGGGAGGGGCACCCGGCGTAGGAAGACTGGCAACGTCCCCGTTAAGGATGAGAGTGATGTACGGTCACCTCCCTCGCTTTAGAATTTACACAAGCTAATGGCCACAGGGTGCGTCATCGGAAGAGTTTACAATGGAAGGCGTCAAGACAAAGTCTGGGAGAAAGGTACATAGGCCAGCGCACTTTAATCCCGCGCAGAAGCAACCGTCCCGACGCCGCGGGCCGTACCGTCGCATTCACGATGCACGAATATGCAAAATCTGCCAGCGTGGCCATTCACCGCAATCTAACATGATTGTCTTCTGCGATGGGTGTAACACTCCATACCACCAGCTCTGTCACGACCCGCCAATCGACGACCTGGTGATAGCTGTTGCTGAGGCGGAGTGGTTTTGCACGAGTTGTAGTAAAAAGCGAGAGGAGCGACCCTTATCCACCGGCCTTAGTGGGCAGAACCTCACGGAGGACGAGAAGAGGACGTATCTTGCTTCGTTACCACTGTCAAGTCTTGTGGAGCTCATATTTTTCTGCGAAAAGACGCATCCAGACTTGCCCTTGTACGATCCAAAAACAAAGTCCATTGTAGCCAATATCAAGACGGCGAGCGTAACAGCAGTAGGGAAAGACGGGGATGAGGAGACACCGGGTATTAATGGGGATAGCGCACCCGGGGAAGTAGAAGGTGGGGAACCCATGACACTTACCGGAGTACCGAATTGGGAGGACATGATCGTGAGGGCGATCGCAGCGATCGGAGATGAGAAAGGCAGCCAGGCCAAGACAATCTTCGAGTGGTTAAGCAAGTGAGTACCCAGCATTCTGGTTGTTGGGAATGCAACTGTTTCTAACCAGGACAGTAATTACCCCGCCCTCGAGGACCGTGATATACGTTCCGAAGCACAGGGGTCCCTGCAATCGGCGCTAAGGAAGAGCCGCCTACTCAGAGAAGGACACTCATACAAAGTCAATCCAGAATACGTAGGTCACTAATGATCTCTTCATCCACCACAACAATGATTTACTAAACGTCGATCACTAGATATCCAACAAGTCATTCGCACCGTCTCAAACGGATAACATCCCAGTGATATCCCCCGGCTCAGGAATAAAGTTACCCCCGGAAACCGAGGACACAGACGGCCTCCTGGTGGACGACGATCTAGTAGCCTTTAGCCACCGCTTCAACGAAACCGCCATTTCGCACCGCACTGGGGCAGGTGTTGGCGGTGACGACGACGTGATGGGCGGGATCGGCGACGACGACGACGGCGGGGGTATATTGGGCATCGGCAACATAAACGGCGTTCAGGACACAGATGACGGCAATGAGGATGCGCCAGGGGAACCTGATGCTGAGGCGGTACCTGCGCCTGTAGTCATGGGATAGGTTTCCCAATCACTTTTGTATTCTAGCATATTACGGGTATGACCAGGCTTCCATAATAGAGCACTCGCTTACTGTACTGTAATTACATTTTCCGGTTTGAATGTGTAAGTTAGAAGAGAGGGGAAAATGAAGTTGGATTAGTTGGCCAGTCTGCAATGTAATAATACCACTATGCTTTACAGTACTCGAGTAGAGTACAGACAATACTCGAGCACAACATCCCAAACCAAAGAATGTACTGTACTGTACCCGCCCAAGCGCGGGTATGACCCATGACCAGCACTACCAGCTCCCTCCGCCCGGTAATCACCCACCCCTACCTAGACTATTATACTAGTATGGTGTGAGGTGACAAGAACGTGTACCAACGGTGTTTCAAAATGTGACGCTTTACTTAATCAGGGTTAGGGGTATTCCATCTAAATTTTTGCAGTAGGATAGTAGAAAGGTCAGATTTAGGGCTCAACCGATGATATTTTGTATGATACTATATGTTTTAATTCCTACATTAATTCTCCTATGTTAGAGTAATATAATCACAAAGTTCAAGTCTTCTTTAAAACTTCTCCTTACTTTTGATCCTCAAGTCAACAATTTTAATACAATGAGCCCCTCATGTGCAAGCCGACCGGATTCTGTAAATCCAAACACCCTTCAAACCAGAGCAAGACGAGCCAGATTGAGACAAAGTCAAGCTGAGGTTTGTTGTTGAATTCTTTTTTTCCCTTGCTAGAAATGCTGATTTGTAAAATTATTAGGCAGAAAATAGACAGCCAAAGGCTATAATACCAAGTGCACTACGTATGCGCAAACTCCGACAACGACGGGCCATCAATCATGTTCCAGCAGCAGTAGCACCTTGCCCAATAGTTCCTGATCTACTTGTATCTGAGTTGGATAGCCCTTTAGCAAATGTAGAGCTTGAGTCTGAATTTTCTGCTCAGTTAAAGCTAGATTATCAAGCATGGCCTCATCGTCGCATGTTTCACAATCAGGCCTGCCCTCGACGGTTGAAGATTCTACAAGATTCCTATCAGGCAATATTGAAAAAGGTTTCCCAACGGTACAGCAAATCCAAGAATAGACCTTCTGGTTTCTCATTCTTATGGCACTATCAAGTGTGTCTGTTTTTAAAGCTACAAGTAAAGCAAGAACAGGCAGTACTAAAGGGCCCTGATTTGTTTACAGAAGTGTTACCTCAATTGCGATCAAGCAAGAAGCTTGCTAAGAGAGTGGCAGATGGAGGAAGATGGGAAAGAAGAATTGTGGAGCGGATTATGCGACATGAGATATTATGGGTTACAAAGCGCCAGATCCCAGAGCCAAGGCAAGGAAGACATCAAAAGGTTATCTCGTTACTGGATGATGCAGAGACTATACTGGCAGTCTGTGAATATATTTTGAAAGCTGGCGATAGTAAGTTCATAGATCCCTTTCTTGACTACTAATCAATAAGACAGAATTAATATAAAGTATTTTATAGAAATCACCTCTCACCGTCTGGCCAATGCGATTGTAATCCACTGGCGAACCCTGGAACCCAGTGATGATGAAGACATTTCAAATCAATCAATGGAGAATGTTGTTCATGATGTAGAAAAGGCAATAAATTCCACCACGGCTGCAAGATAGATGCGCAAACTTGGTTTTAAATACAAAGAGTATCGGAAGGGAATTTACAATGATGGCCATGAGTGCCAGGATGTGAAAGACTATCGCAACAATATTTTTCTGCCCCGTATGGCACTCTTAAAGGAGCAGTTTCTGCACTGGGATGAAAATCTGAATGAGATTCCTAATCCTCTTCACCTGTCGGAGGAAGTACAGCCTCTAATACTTGTCACACAAGATGAGTGCACCTTCAACTCAAATGATGGCAAACACTATATTTGGATCCATCGAGAGCACAAACCATTGCGGAAAAAAGGACGAGGCCAGGGTCTGCATGTTTCGGACTTTCTGACACCAATTGGACGACTTGGTGAAGGAAACGCTTGTGTCATCATGGAGCATGGAGGGAATGAATGGTGGAATGGTGACAAATTACTCAATCAGATTGTGGAAAAAGCAATTCCCGCCTTTGAAGCACAATTTCCTGACTGTAAGGCTCTATTTGCATTTGATAATGCACGCTTGCACTTAAAGTATGCCAATGATGCACCACAGGTTTCAGAAATGAACTTGGAGCCAGGTGGGAAAAATGCCAAAGTTATGCATAACACTTATGTTGTTGATCCTAGTCATCCAAACGGTAGATTTCTGCAGTCAATGGTTCTACCAAATGGAATTCCGAAGGGTCTTAAGCTTGTACTTATGTAACGATCCCTCTCTGGATAGTTAGTTCGTGGCGACGGGGAATGATACTTCTCGTTTCCGTCTCTTTCTTCCTTCGTCTTACGATAGCTCTAGGCCTCTGCCTACGTTGCCGATAGTACAAGACCTTTGTCTTCTATCGGGAACGCCTATCGTAAGCTTTCTCTAACTCGTCTTCGTGGAGAACCTTCCTTAGTGTAACAATAACATCGCAGTAAAGATAAAGATCGTAAAGGTGTTTTATATTTGTTTAAAAGTAATAAGTAGGAAAAGTACTTAGAAGTCAATCTAATTTTTATTTAAACTCGTACCGCCAATACTGGCATATGACGAGCCCCCGCCGGCACAGGGATACCGCTAACTGGCATACCACTAATCCTAGGCTAACTAAGTCTACGGTCCCGCACCTGCCATCCCCGAGTCCTACCTGCACGGAAACTAATTACAAGACCATCAAACAACCCAGCGCCCTCCCCGTTCCAAGTCCGTAGCCCCTCTGGTATGAAGCCAACCAGCTCCAAGCGTAGCCGAAGCCGAGCAAGAGACCAACCCAACCAGGTTCCTCGTCCAACAAAATTAAAACCACTACCACCCGGTCTAAATACGGTCCCGCAACACCTCCACCACAGTAGAAAACCAACAACAAACCAAAATAATGATAAACTACAGGCGACACAATGGCAGAGAGGAGGTGACCAACATGTCCACCTCTCGCATCTGCATGCTAGGCCGTTGACCCTATAAACCCTCTTTGCCAAGTGCCTCTGAGGAGCGTAATGGTGAGGAGGACCTGTACCCGCTGCCTGTCCCCCCAAAACAAACTCGTAAATAAAGGAAATACATAGAGGTGGTGACAGACCGAAATAGTCAGTGGGGCCTATCTCCCACCCGTGGTGCCTTGCCCCTGCCAGCCATGCCCATTGCCAAACCAAAGAAACCAAACAAACTTCCACAACACCCAGCACGCAGAACCCAAACAAGTCCAACCAGGTGGTCGCAACCCACTATCCGCACAGGTGGCCATCAGTCCAGCGGTCCGCCGGGGAGCTTTACAGCACTCAGCAGCTTCGCCCAGCAGCCCAAACCAGTCCGGAAAGACTTAATTAGACATCGCCCAACCTGACGCATGCCCGACCGGTGCTCGCAGGTGCCTCTCCCCCCCCCAATCAGCCCCCCCCAAGCCCCACACACCAGACGCCACAGAGCCCATCCAGCCCCCCCAGCCCCTCAGACAGATTAACCATCCGACGACCATAGGACAGCTCATATCCAGCCCCGCTAGGCAGCCACTGATCTTGGCCACACGAACAGAGCCCCAACCCCCAGCACTATATAGCCGAGGGGAGCCCACCAGCCATAGCCGGGAGCCCCAAAGGAGGCAGCACCAACACCCGAAGGCACAGGTACCAGATATACCATCCAGCCCAGCCAAACCGAAATCCAACCGAGTCGGGAAAGAGTAAGCAGAGCCAGCCAACGCCAGCCCCACCGGTCCGGCAACAGGCACGGACCGAACAACAGGCAAGAGGCATCCCCAACTGACGCGACAAGAAGGGGAAGGGCGAACGAACAGAAGCAGACAAACGGAAGGTAGGCCCCACTTGCAATGGGCGAAGCCACCAACCACAGACCACAACTGAACCACCCAGACGCACAGACAACGCGAGTACCTGGCAGCCAATCGTCCCACACCACCCCAGGCAGCAAAGAAAAACCACTCCAGGGGGTAAGGTTTTTCAGGGTCAAAGCCATCCCTACCGTAGCTAGGAGGTGACACCTGACTGAACCACCGTATAAGCTGCAAGGACAAAACTTCGAATGGAATGGTGATAAACAACATCATAGGATTCCGACCGTAGAAACGTAAAGTAACGAGGCAGGGAGGGGCCGGTAAGGCCCCCTCCCTTGAGGAAATGATGCGGCCGGTATGACGAGTTGATACTTGGGAAGGTCATCAGTCTAACCCAAGGGCGTTTTGTATTGCGTGAACTAAGGACTCCATTAAAACCCAACAAAAGACATGAGTTGGCCCAAAGAACGACACGGGTGATCCCCCCAAACACAATGTTCAATCCTCCCAATCGAACGCGAAACCTGGAAGTAGACGATATACAGGAAGCCGTAGACATTTTACCGAAAGGGGCTCGTATGCGACCGTGATGAGTGCTCGAAGTGCCAGTATCGTGAGATAACCAGTCCAAGGAAACGAGACACAAACAAGTTATCCGCCACGCAACGCCTAACAGACCTCAACACCAAAGACCCCAGGAACTACTGAGCAAACTCAAATATCTCCCCCAGAATCAAAGGCATCAAGGCCCACCATGATGGCGAAAGAAACGCTCGGGGCGAAGCGACGGCAAGGACGAGGAAAAGTACTTAGAACAAAGCGTGAGGAACCTATCCTCCTTGGCCGCATCGGCCTCCTTATATAGTGTTCTTCCGCCCATAGTCATGTGACCTAAAGTGGTCACATGTGCGAAACAAAATCATAACAAACTAATCATGTGACCAACATGGTCACATGTTCAAACCCCAAGACCTCATAGCGAGGTCATGTGCGAAAAACTCATAAACCAATCATAACACAATAAACCAATCATATGACTCGACCAAGTCATATGTGCAAAACATAAATCATATGCATAAGGCTTACCCGCAAGGCATACTCGCAAGGTACACTCGCAAGGCACACTCGCCCTATGTATGTCCCATGACTCATATTTGAGTCATGTGCGAAAGCATCACAAATCCCACACATAACAAATC